CACAAACCAAGGGGTCATTGCTTAACTTGGGAATGACAGTGATAGAAGCTCTTGGTATAGGTGGGGCCAAGGCAACTGAGTGTGATAGACAGTTGAATTATTATTATTTTTTTTAAATAATGGATGCTCAGTTGGAGTAGGACATCCTATAATACTGGTTGGTAAAAACGTCCGAATTTAGACGGTTAACTCCAGGAGCAGACAAGTTCAGCCAAGAGGGAGAAGAGGGAATCCCTTGAGAGGTTGGATTATGGGCAGGATAAGAGGTTGGATTATGGGTAGTAAAAGGAGTTATACTAGGGGTGCCAAAAAGGTAGATCTACAGATGTTGTGGAACTACAACTCCCTGGATGTTTTGCATGCCTTTATAATGCCTTTACATTGACAAAGCATCATGTAAGCTTTAGTTTTAAAACATTTATGGTTTGGAAACACCTGGGTTAGACTGTTGGCTGGATTATGGGTAGGATTGTAGGCAGGATTGTAGGTTGGATTAAGAGTTGGATTAGGGGTTACGGTAAGGGTTCAGTTTAGGAGTTGGATTAAGGATGGATTATGGACAATATTAGAGGTAGAATTTGGGAAAAAGGTATACATGTGTGGTATCATTGTACTTAAAGGCAACGCAGAATGCAGATATGGAGTGTTTGCAGTTGTGGGACACAATTTACAAAAAAATAAAACACGTGAAGAAAAAACACAAACAAAAAAAAACTAATTTAACCTGGATTTAGGATAAAATGATTAAATGAAAAGTGTCAAAATGCTCTAAATTACATAAGTACTTTTGTGTAGCAATTCTGAATTTTGTGACTATTAAAGTTGTAATCTCAGCAAACGAAATTTTGCAAAGTTTTAGCTTTAAAACTGTAATTCACTCCTTGGAGTATTTTTTTTTAAAACATCTAAAAATTCATTGAAATCCTAGACATATTGTACATTCTAACAATCAGAAATAATTGATGGATACATTTTGAATTAATTTTCTTTATTTGTGCTCGGTGTGTAGAAATAGTTAAATGTTTTCCCCATTATTAAATGTTATTCTTAATTAATATTGCATCATGTATACATGTTGATAATCAAAAGAAATACAGTGTACTTCTTTAATATATTTAAATGATATATAATATATATATGAGTGTACTTAAACAAAAAGGGGGAAATTGTGGTAAAAGTAATACATAACAAAATGGTCACAAACACGTTGCATTAAAAAAAAGCCTTGGTTCTGGGAGCCCCAGTTTCTGGCTCTCAATGAAGGAAGTGACCAGCACCCAGTAGTCCCCAGGTAAGTTGTAACCATTAGCAAATGTTTTAACTACTTGGCACTATAATATGAAGGTCTTAAAAAGTCCCAGAATGTCATTGACCAGAATGGAAGAACTCTTAAAGGGTTTCCTGGCACTGCAGGACCCTGCATTGCCCCTCTCCCTCCCTCCCATGTTGCTGAAGGGGCTCTGCCCATGCTCCTCCCCCGCCAACGTCAGCGCATTAGACCTCCCCATAGGAAAGAATTATTCAATGCTTTCCTATGGGGATTCCGGCGACGCTGGAGGTCCTCATGCATAGTGTGAGGACGTCCAGCATGGTTTAAAGCCCTTTTCATGTTCTAAGAACACGGAAGTCCCTCTAGCTATAACCCCATGTTTTGGTTATATATGCTTTGCCTCTGACTAAAGAGGATTTAAAGATTACTGTGCCTATTAAGCAATGGTTAGCCAAGAGATGCACTGTCAAGTTATTTACTTATATCTATACATTACAATATAATGCACACAGATTTAATAATACAATCATTTTCAATAATAATAATAAAAAGTACAGTTTTCCTTGAAAGGTACACTTTATGATAAAAATATAAAAACATTATCAGTCCTCTGAATCAGTGTGGTAATTTCTATTTCAGGGCTTCTCTTTGTATCATACAATTTCATTTATAAGAACCTTTAATTCACCTTTATTTCAATGCCGATCCATCTCCTGTGAAGTTACTAAATTGCAAGACTTTAGTCCATTCAAATGCATCTAATAGAGAAGCATTATGGACCTAGGGCACATGTGTAGCAAACGGTGTGATTCTCCAATCAAATGGTTGTCATAGAGAAGCACTTAATCCAATGCTTCTATGAGAAGAATCAGACGCTGCACACCACATGTGTGTGATGTGCATGGTGGTCACAAGTTCACCTCTCCATTACATACCCACCTACCTCACAGGCTCCAAAAAAAGGAACTTGCAGGGGCTTGTTCCATATAAATACATAAATACAGCCTACATGTCTACAAGTGCTGATATCACTGGCCTGCTGATATGAATTGGTATAAGAACCAGAAAGTATAATTCTTGGCTCTCCAATTCAGAGGGCTTGAAAATGCGGCCTAAAGTCCTGCTTTCAAGCCCTGAAACAAGAAAATATGGGAGGACTGGAGGCTAGTGCCAGCATTATGGCACTATAACAACTTCAATATGAAGAAGTTTCTATGGTGCCTACAGTGTTCCTTTAAATGTAAATATCTTTTTGTTTTGCTTTTTGTTTACACATTTGTTTAGTAAACTTTAGGTATCTTTTCAATTTTTACATCCAGATGTTATGCTTTTTTTGTATTTGCACTTTATGTACTGTACAATGCTTTGTATTATATGTGTTGTCTTTTTTATTTTTATTTTTAGATTATCACCATTTTCTGTTTAGTTATTTTTTCAAAACTGGATTAAGAGCACTTGTAATGGGTGTGAGTATACATTTTTCTGTTGTTTATTTTGGTCTGGCTACCAATTCCCAATATACAAGACTTGCTAATTTAAAATGTATGGCTTTCAGGAAAACATGTAGTTGCCAAGGCAATAGGGTTACAAGAGATTTAGATTTTATATTCCTTTTAAAAATTAGTTCCTTTGGGTTCAAAAGGTATAGAGCAGATATTCAGCAAAACAAAGTACTATATATCCTAGCAACAATCTCATAACAAAAATATATATTTTACTCTAGTTGCTTAGAAACAAATGTACATAAAAAACTCTACCAATCTGCATAGAGTCAATGCAGTTTTACATTAACCGAGTTATTCACTAAATACCAGATTTGACCACAATAGCAATTTTCATATTTACTAAAGACAAATACAGTCATAATGCAGTAAGCCCAAGCGAATCGGCATCAATTACCCAGATGCATTTGTAGTATGGATTAAAATCGATGCATTCACATGTGAAGTATGTGTACAAAGTATAGGATTCAGAAAATTCACAGAGCACCAATATTAAAGAAACACTATAGTCCTCCAGACCACTAAATTTAATGAAGTGGTCTAGGTGCAATGCCCATGTTGTTTTAACCCTGCAATCTTAAACATTGAAATGTTTTAGAAACTGAAATGTTTACATTGTGGGGTTAAATCCCCCTCTAGTGACTGTTTCTTAACAGCTACTAGAGGTGCCCCCTTCACCAGAATGATTAAACAAATATGAGAATCAAATGTTGCTGGCAGAAGAATTTTGTCCAACAATTATCACTTCAGCATACCTCCAATCTATTGCTTATCAATGGAAAGCAATGGATTGGAGGAAATTGTGAAGATGTCAGCAGGTATGCCGATGTCTTAAAAACAGAGCAGGCAGCTGAAGCAGGAGCTAAGTAATTTTATTACATGACAGGAGGCTTTGTATTTTGCATAAATCTCTTTACTAAACTCCATAGCAGTAAAGAAAGGGATAGTAAGAACCAATCAAAAAACAGTAGGAGGTATAATATTCCTAGTGAACAGGCTCCTCCTCCTCTTTCTTTACTGCTCTATCAGCAGACAGGTCAGAATATTAAGCTCCTTATATTTATTCATGTTTTCTGACATTTATTATACCTTATTCATTGTATTATATTGTATGGTTTTTATTAAGCTTTATTGTTCATCTTTCACTTTCCTGTCCCTTATATCTCTATCCTACTCAGGATACTTTCTGGGGTTTCCTTCACCACAGCCTTCCTCAGACTGTGCACCAGACACTCTACCTTCCCCCATCCGGTTTAGCCTTCTGCCGGGCTATTCCGCCATTAGTACTGCTGGTACTATTCTCGGAACATTACCCTGCTGGGGTTATATCTGGTACTGCTGGTACCATAACTACTGTAGGATCCTCTCCTTCTACTGACCCCTGCCTCAACTGCCCTCTTATCAGTGCCAAGTCCTTGCCTACATTATGGAAGAGTCTCAGCCTACTCCAGTGGACTTTCAGTCCATGGTTAACGTCTATGGAGAAGGACCTATCCCACATGACTATTCAACCTGAACACTCCAGGCCATCCAATCCACGCCGCACACGCCAAGATAATGAGTCTGAGGACTCTGAAACCCAGACCAAGGATGACACCCGGGTTAGCAAACACCACTGGAAAGGGGAGAAGGACCTCAAACCAAGCAAGGGCAAACACCCTGCTAAGAAAAGCAAAACGGCAGCTGCCATCACCCATGCCCTCTCCAAGTGTTCTCCTCAGAGGAGGAGGAAGATATTGATGACACTATGGCCATACCTCACTAAGTAAAGCTAACGCATCTCAATTCGATGATGGCGCCTGGGACTCAGAAGCTAAACCCTTTCATACAGGGGATTCAGATTCATTCGCTGCCAAATGGCAAGGGACGGGGGACACCTCCCTGCCACAGGGCGAGGCTATTCTGGACCCTATGGGCCAGATGCTCTTTGACCCACATAACATCAGACACCCTCGCTTGACAGACTGGACACCTCCGGAACACCTCACTAAGTTTATGCACCTATGGCTGCGTAAACCTATGGACAAGGTAGTCCGCAACCGACTGAAGCCAGAATGCAGAGGGGAGACGGCCGCTCTCCTTTCCACCTACCTGCTCCACGACCACTTCGACCCTCAATCAGTTTGCCCCGGGACCGGTGGGGGTTATCCCGGTCCTCACCGCGGGCCCAGACCGAGCCTATACAGAGCGTGTGGGCACCAGGGCCAGCGACACGTGGCCCATCGAAAATGGCAGCGGAGTACTCGCAGCAACAGCGGACTCAGCTTGAAGCAGCTGAGCAGAGCTCCGACTGCGGCACAGACCTCATGCAGTGTCTGGATGCACTATTCAACAACTTCTGGGAGAAGCTCCAGCAGCGCGCACAGCACACCAAGACAAAGCGACAGGATCCCATGGACCCAAGAGAGAGGAGCTATGGGCGACCGGGCGAGAGGGGGACTCCCTCGGGCGCAGCACCAGACTAAAAGCTGACCCACCCCAGCCCACCCGGGCTGCAGGCCAAGAGGGCCCTGACCCAAAGGCGTCGGCCACATAGGCAGAAACACAAGCAGCAATCAACCTACAGACCTCCCGCCACCCCCACGAGGGGGAGACACTCGGGGAACGTATGCCACCGAGTCTCAGGCCAGAAGATGCAGGCCTACACACCAGCTTGGGGCAAGAGGTACACCCCCACCACCGGCCGAGCGTCAGCACCTCCTCTGGACCAGCTGGAGAGCCTCAGCCGCATTCCCACAGAAGGAATAGGATAAATGGTGACTCACTACAAACTCTCTTATGACCCGCATAGGCTACCCCACGGGTCCAGATGCAAGTGCCGGTGACCGCTGCATACCAGTTTGATTTCATGTGTTGACCAATGCTTTTTGCCAACCATTGTATACCTTACTTACGCTTGTTAATATTAGCCTGCCATTAGTTAAGCATAGAGCGCTAGATGTTTAATCTTATCACCGAAGAATCACATAGTTAATGATATTGCATCAGCATGAATAGACCTTGAGATTTGTGATCTTATGTCCGTTACACTCATAGTAAACCACGAAAGACAGAATGTCACTCAGATTTAATGCCTAGTCAGCCTGTTATGTAACGATAATTCCCAAGCAACTTAATGTATAACTGTGCCCATGCCTTGATAAAACTGGGCATCCATTGCTAAATGGTGATTTTTGTATTGCACTGAGTGCTCAGGGCCTAGCCTGTAAGCCACGTGAAGCCTAGGAGTACTGCTTTATCTGTATAGCTACTGATATATATATGCATGACCTGTACTGTCCACAGCCTAGGTCTTTCGGCAAGCAACATAGAAGTACTCCTAGTTATGTCACATCCTCATACAAAACGATTCTGAACTAGCTATTTTAACTTCTTACAGCTTAAAGTATGATTAACTAAGCATGTTTATATTAAAAATTGTGCTTGATAGACATATGTCCCGCATGTAAAGCGGAGGAATAGCCTGAGGACTGCTTTTGGGGCACCTCAAGCCTGTATCATTTTCATGCACTGCAAAAATAAAGAATTAAAAAAATAAATAAAATAAAAATACATAACTCCTATCATACTGAATTGAACGGGCCAAATCTCCCAGGGTCCATAGTCACAGGGCAAGAGGCGGGCAAGCAGTCCTCTCCAGGCACAAGTGGCGAAGGGCACTTCGTCACAGTAATAAATCCATGAATAAAGTAGCATGGAGGGAAAGTACCGAATGAATAGAGGGGGATTCTTCACAATTGCCCCCCTTTTACTCCCTGCTCCGGCAGACATGACTGGACCTTTCCGGGTCCAGTGGGGCTGACGGGACTTTCCAAAGTTTTTAATCTGAGGCCAAGTCAGTTTGGCGTGACAGTCCATCAGCATTCCCGTTTTGCTTGCATGGGCGATAAGTCATAGGGTTGTAAAGCCAGGCTCCAGCGCAGCTCCCCTGAGACCCGGTTGAGCCAAACCAGGTGATTGTGATCGGTGATGAGGGTGAAGGCCTGGCCATAGAGGTAAGGTGTGAGCTTTTTGAGTGCCCATACCAAGGCCAAACACTCTTTCTCAATAGTGGCATAACTGACCTCCCTTGGCAACAGTTTCCGACTCAGGTATGCCACCTCTCCTCCATCCTCTCCGATCTGGCTTAGTACTGCCCCCAGTCCAAACATTGAAGCGTCTGTGTGGACAATAAATCTTTTGTTAGGATCTGGGGTAACCAACACCGGAGCATTAACGAGAGCATTCTTTAGTGCTTGGAAAGCCACCTCGCATTCTGGGGACTACAGGACTTGTCGGGGTAGCTTCTTTTTGGTCAGGTCGGTCAGGGGTTTGGCCAGGGTGCTATAGTCTGGTACACAGCGTCTGTAATAGCCGGCTGTGCCCAAGAAAGCCGTGACTTGTGTCTTGGTGTGGGGAGTGGGCCAATTGGCAACGGCCTCGATCTTAGCCGGCTCCGGCCGTTGCTTACCACATCCTACTCGGTGGCCCAAATATTGTACCTCCGCCATACCCAAATTACATTTGTCTGGTTTCAGGGTCAGCCCGGCCCCCCTGATCCTATCTAATACTACCCCTACGTGTTCTAGGTGCGCTTCCCAGGTATCGCTATGGATGGCGATGTCATCCAGGTAAGCGCACGCGTAGTCCTGGAGACCTCCCAGTAAATGATCCGCGTAGTCCTGGAGACCTCCCAGTAAATGATGGAAGGTGGCCGGGGCGTTCTTCATCCTGAATGGCATAACCCGGAATTGGTACAGGCCGAACGGGGTGATGAAGGCAGACTTGGGTATGGCATCTTCTGCTAGGGGAATCTGCCAATATCCCTTACATAGGCCAATTGTGGTCAGATACTTCCCTGCAGAGATACGGTCAAGCAGTTCGTCCATCCGTGGCATTGGATAGGCGTCAGTAACTGTCTTGTCGTTGAGTCGCCGGTAATCCACACAGAAGCGGGTTGTCCCGTCCTTCTTTGGTACTAGGACTACCGGCGAGGCCCAAGGACTTTCTGAGTGTTCTATTACCCCTAGCCGAAGCATCTCGTCGATTTCCTTCCGCATTCCTTCTCGGACTGCTTCCGGAATACGGTAAGGGGGCTGCCTCAGGGGTGCTTGCCCTGGAGTCTCCACCATGTGGACGGCTAGGAGTGTGTACCCAGGCTCCTGAGAGAATATGGCCTGTTTGGTTTCTAGCAAGTGGACAGCTTGAGCCCTCTCTTGTGGTTCCAGCTGTTCGCCTAGCTGGACTTTCTCTATCTGGGTCATCCCTTCGTTACTGCCCAATAGGTCGGGAAGAGGTAGTGTCTCCGTGTCTTCCCCTGCTGGCGCACAGATAGCGGTCACCTCCTCTGCCCGTTCCTGATAGGCCTTAAGCATGTTGATGTGAAAGGTTCGTTTCACATCCTCATCCTCGCAGCTAGCTATGGTGTAGGTAGAGTCGCATATCTGCCCTATAACTTTATAGGGGCCCTGCCAGGCGGCCTGGAGCTTGTCTGTTCGGACCGGTTTTAGCACCATGACTTTTTGGAAAGCTTCAGTGCCTAGCCCGTCGGTCATACCATACCTTCTGGCGCTGCTGGGCTGCCTGGAGGTTTTCCTGCACCGCCTGGGCTAATTCCTCCATGCGGTCCCACAGTTCCAGCACATAAGGTACAATCGGGGTCCCATCAATCTCTGTCTGCCCCTCCCAGTGATCCTTGATAAGATCTAAGGGCCCCCTCACCCGCCTCCCATAGAGAAGTTCGAAGGGTGAGAATCCAGTCGATTTCTGCGGCACCTCTCGGTAGGCAAAGAGAAGGTGTGGCAGGAATAGCTCCCGATCCTTGTACGCCCCCGTGAACGACTTCAACATTTGCTTTAGTGTCCCGTTGAAGCGTTCGCACAGGCCATTAGTCTGGGGGTGGTATGGGGAACTAGTCAGGAATTTAACTCCACAGACTTTCCATATCTGCTGGGTTGCCTCAGCCGTGAACTGCGTACCTTGGTTGGACAGAACCTCCTTGGGAAAGCCCACTCAGGAGAATATCCTGACTAGCACATCTGCCACCGTCTCAGCCTGTATGTTAGAAAGGGCCACAGCTTCGGGGTAACGGGTTGCGTAACCTACCACCATGAGGATAGAACGTTTGCCGGAACGGCTAGGTTGGGCCAGGGGTCCTATGATGTCCACTTCTTCAATTATGGGCATGGAGACCAGTTTAGCCTTTGGGTGGTCTCCCTTTTTACCGATGCGTTGACATATCTCGCACGTCTGGCAATACGTCCGGACGTCGTCGGATACCCCAGGCCAGAAAAAGTTCTGGGTTACCCGATATCCCGTCCTGCGTATTCCCAAGTGTCCTGCCAGAGGAACGTCATGCCCAATTCTTAATAACTCCCGCCGGTATTTCCGTGGAACTACCAGCTGACGTTTTTGTCTCGGTGAGCCTTTATAAGCGGCCTTTTTCCCAGATAAACTGCTCCTTCTCCCTCCTGGCTTTCTATCGATACTTTCTGAGGGAAGGGTCTCTGGTCACCTCCCGCCCAAAATCTTCTGGGGTGTCCCAGGGTAGGGGTTCTATAGTCAGCGGTAGGTCGGGTTGGCTTACCTGGGTCTCAGTAGGAAGCAGATGGCTCTCGGCAGCGTGACTTTGTGCTCTGGTGGTTACTGCGTGGGCCTCCTGAGCGGTGGTTGAGGCGAACGCCGAAGTCAGGGGGCCAATGTCATTGCCCAACACGACTTCAGAGGGTAAGTCTTTCATTACGCCCACGTGAACGTTGCCAGCTCCCGCACCCCAGTCCAGGTGTACTTGTGCGGTAGGAATGCGATACACTGCCCCCCCTGCCACTCTCACAGCAATTGATTTCCCCGGCTTTTCCGATGCGTTAATGAGATGTCGTTGCACTAGCGTGATGGTCGCACCATTGTCTCTTAATCCCCGTGCTGTCTTGCCGTTAACCATGACCAGTTGACAATGGTGTTTCCGATTGTCTGTGATGGTGGATTGTACCATGAGGGCTTCATAAAGGGTGCCCAATGGTTATTCCTGACTCAGCTCCTTGGGATCCCAAGTCGAGTCTACACAATGGGCTGCTGCTGGTGGTTTGTGGTACCCAGGTCGAGACCAATTTGACCTGGGGTTGTTGTCCATGGGGCAATTCTGTCGGATGTGACCCAGCTGTTTGCACCGGAAGCAATATAGCTCGCTGTCATCCCATCGTGGATAGCGAGAGTTAGAAGTCACCGGTCAGTTAGGAGGTTGGTATCTGGCTGCTGGTGGGTGTGATGGCACCGTTGGTCGTGGAGGCTGCACCCGTGGTGCGACCTGGTTAGTCTTGCGAGTATCCGCATACTCATCCGCCAACTTGGCGGCCTCTGGTAGAGACAGGGGCCTGCGATCTCACACCCAGTCTTTGACATCCGCCTGGATATGGTTGTAAAACTGTTCCAGGAGTATCAGTTGCAAAATATCCTCCGCGGTGGTGGCCTGGCTACTGTTAACCCAGTT